CCAACAACAGGGTCCGCATCGTATTTCGCTAAATCACTACACACATATCCACACACATATCCACACACATATCCAGAAAAAAAAGAGATCACCCCTTCGACGCGTTCGTTAACCATACAAAACATAACAAGACGCCTATTTCTTTATGGACTAGAAGCGAAAGCGGGCTGGCGTACTGAAAATCTGACCCGTAATACTAACTCCTTTTCCCTGATATAGAAATACTCTCTTTCCTTTCGAAAGTGGCGAGGGGGGGTGGAATTGGGGGGGGGGGGGGGGGGATAGAGGAGATGGGGAGACTAGAACGACCCCTGAGAAATCTGAAATATCGCCCCTGTCTATGAAGGGCTTTGCTGTTGGTTGCAGGAATCTGCCTGCAGAAGATGGCAGTAGTCGAGCGGAGCGAATTCTCACAAATGCAGGGAAGAAGAAACGTCAACGGATGATCTACCTGGACCTATTTCAAACTATTAATAGACCTACGTATTTCAGCCTATACATAGACCTACGTATTTCAGCCTATAAATAGACCTACGTATTTCAGCCTCTTAGCATAATGACATACCTGTTTCGACAGGCAGTACGTGTCATTACATGCATGGAGATTTTACTTTCATTTTTCGGTCGAAGAAAACACCGCAATCCAAAGATTTTACCCATTTCAGAATATAACTCTTCGGGCTTCTACAGACCATAGGTGCCATTACACGCAGGGATTCGACCACCCACCTCTCGCACAACCCAGGTTCCTCTCGTGCCATAAAGGAGTGAGAAGGATCATCGGACACCATCATCATCCTCAGAACCGAAAAAAAACAAAACAGGTCTGTGGGACTCTCGAGGCTAATTAGGCTTCATCACATGCCCATCAGGTCCCCTACAAGACCCATCTTCTCCCCCTTATACATGGTCACCGCGCTCACTCCCAGGACCCACAACTTCCATCACATTCCGCCTCATCATCGTCACAATCCTCATCGTCATCAGCAACAGAGACACATCACCGTGATCTGCATCACACCCCGAAAATGGATGGCGCTGAAGCGCGCGACCTATGCTCGGCCGTCGCGGCGATTCTGACGCCGCGACGAGGAGGGCGCGGGGCCTGCTGCGAAGCCTGGAGCGTGATAAAGACCCATCTTCTCCCCCTTATACATGGTCACCGCGCTCACTCCCAGGACCCACAACTTCCATCACATGCCGCCTCATCATCGTCACAATCCTCATCGTCATCAGCAACAGACAGACACATCACCGTGATCTGCATCACACCCAGAATCATCAAAACCCTCCGCATCCGAATCGTCAGCAATCCCTTTCCCCCCTACCCCTATCCCATAGCCCCCCGCCCTTCGTTCCCCCCCCCTGCTCCCCACTCTCCAACCTGCAATACCATCCCGGTCCCCATCATCCTATCTCCCTATCCCGACACCTGATCATATCCTCTACGTCCCGATCCCCACGATTCTATCCCTATTCTCCGTCGCGACCCCGACCATCTTCCGCTAGCAGTGGTGGTTGCCACGACAAAGATCATAAGAGAGACTGCAACATCAAAAGCAGTATATCAGACTTAGGTCCAGATCCCACTGGCAAAGAGGGGATTGGAAGAAGTGTCTGAATCTCGACGTGTTCCACGCAGAGGTGCAGAAAACTAAATCAATCACAAAGTTTTGCACCTATCCACAAACACGTCCACATTCAGAATACAATCCTCTTTGCCAATGTGATCTCGCCCTTATGTCACCATCATCGCTAACTCGCATCTCGCCCCCAGCACATCATCACAAGCATCATCGCCCGCGACGGGGGGATCATCTGTCTGACCATCGACACAACAATCTTGATTGCCATCGAGTACCACACGCCACGATTACCTCAGCCGCCGAATTGCGGGACAGGCGAGGGAGGAGTACATCCTGTAATTAGCGATCCAAGCACTACACGTGCTCGACTCGTACAACCCCATACGAAGCGTGCAAATCCATCGATCGCGCGTTCGATTCAAGGTAAGTTACGTGTGCGTTCGATGGCAAATCAAATTAAGAACTCACGGCGACGGATCAAAGAAGGACGAGAACGACAGGTGCAATGCGTTAGCTCATAGCCTCAGGTAACCAAAAAAAACACTCATGCTAAGTAAACGAAAGGATTGCGCCGTACCACCTGACCTACCGTCTTCGCCCGAGTGGAACGCCCGGTCATTACAGCTGTGCACGCCCGGTCATTACGGCCGTACGCCCGGTCATTACAGCCGAACTTGGTGCTCCGTGCTCGGTGCAATTTTCGGTCCAGACACAGCTATAGGGACCCCATATTTTCACGAGGGTAGTGTGTGCTGTGGAGACACACTACTTGGTGCTCGGTGCTCGGTGCAATTTTCACTCCAGACACAGCGGTACTGGGCGCAATTTTCACTCCAGACAGCTATAATGACCGGGCGTTTTACTCGGATGAAGACGGCGCCAAGTTTGAGTACACTTATAAACTTTTGAAATACAGACCTGAGTTCGAATCGAGTTCAAGCGATATATTCTACGCTCCTGAATTACCTACGGCCGGTGACTTTCACGATGATATCTCAAGGCCGTCGCCGTCGCCCTTCACAAAGAAAAAAGAAAGAAAAGAGCGTTGCGCCGCCGTTAGAAATTATGCGAAAATGTGAACAACACGCCGAGTGAGTTTTTTTCTGCTTTTTTTTTTTTTTTTTTTTTTTTTTCACTTGAACAGCACCTCAGGTTCTTTCCTTACAATCATTATTGGGAAAAAAGTCATAAACCTCCCCGCGACGAAACCTTTGTATCCATTTCCACCCCCCAACCGAGGAAAAAGGTGACGCAGACCCCAAATGGATACAAAGGTTTCGTCATTTCCTCCCCCCCCAACCGAGGAAAAAGGTGCCGCAGACCCCAAATGGTTACAATTGCTTCGTCGCGGGGAGGTTTTATGACTTTTAACCATAATCATTATTTACCGTAAACGATAATCTCGCGGTCGCTCAATCTGAGAAGGCTGGGGCAAGAAAAGACGACTACCCTTCCAGGGGAAAAAAAAAAGAAAAACAGAAAAGACGACTACCGGTAGACAATGCGAGTCTCATATTCGTACGCTCTATCCGGTACGTGGATGAACGACTGACGACGGTTCGAATCCACCTTCTCTTCTTTCCACCTCGTTGTCAGCAAAGGTCAATGAATGGCGCGCCTCTCCCCGACCCGTCTAACATGACATATGTAGTATTACTCCACGGACGCGAAGCTCAAGCGTCATCCTGCGTTAAATGTCCGCCGAACAAGCAAGAAGGTAAGTGTCTCCACAGCACACACTAGCCGCCTAAAGATAGAAAAATATGGGCCCTACAGACCTCGCTCGCGCGACGGAGAGACTGACGTCAAGGGACGGAAAACACAAACACGCAATTTACGAGACTGACGTCAGGCGACGGAAAGCACACACGTAATTCACAAGCCCTCTTTTTCAAGCCTTTCTGAGTATTTCCCGCCGCGAACACGAAGACAACCCGTCAGTGATTCTGCGCAAAACATCGATCCATTTTTTTAATTTTTGATTTTTTTTCAAGCAAGCTACATTTTATTACAGCTTAGACGAGCACGAACACGTGCTCCTCATCTCTTCAGACAAAAAGACCTCGGCAGCATGCTTGAGGGGGGCCCCTCATCTCCTTACTTTCTGAGTATTTCCCGCCGCGAACACGAATCTCTTCAGACAAAAAGACCTCAGCGGCATGCTTGGCCACTCATCTCCCTGCTTTCTGAGTATTTCCCGCGCCGCGAACACGAAGACAACCCGTCAGTGATTCTGCGCAAAACATCGATCCGATTTTTTTCATGTTTTTTTTTTCAAGTAGACTATATATTTTATGACAACTTGGACGAGCACGAACACGTGCTCATTCTCTCTTCAGACAAAAAGACCTTACAAACATAGGCTTATCAGCAAGCTTGCCCCTTCGTCTCAACACGAAAAAAGCCTCAGCGGCATACTTGGCCCCTTCCTCATAAAAAAGAGAGCCTTAGACGCATGCTTGGCGCCTTACCTCTTGACAAAAAGAGCCTTAGCAGCATGCTTGGCCCCCTATATCCCCACAAAAGAACCTAGTCACCATGCTTGCGAAAGGCATCCCATTAATCCCCTCACCGTACAGTACAAGACAACAAGACAGCAAAACACAACAGGCGTGGACGAATGATCACACCGCTACCAATATGGACCAGACCAGAAACGCAAAAAGCACGGAAAAAGATCAACACCGTACCGAGAACACACGTCGTCGAACACAGACTTAGGTGTAGGCTTGGCACCACGAACGGAGAGAAAAACTTGGGCACAAAGCACGGCGACAATGTATCGACATAAACCACGGGCATAAAGCATGGGCATAACAGCACGGGCATAACAGCACAGAACGCTTCGCGCCTTTCCAGGGGCAGAGAAGTACCGTATACACCCCACTCGTCATTGCACAAGTTCACAAGAAAAGGGATATGCACTGTGCATGATGATGCTGACGATATACAGGTGAAGTTTAGAGACTGAGAAAAGCGAGAAGAAAAGCGAGAGAAACGCGGACAGATAGAAAAGAGAGAGACATGGACCCGCTCAGTGAGTCGGCAGAACCCACGCACTGTGCATGATGATGCTGACGATATACATGCGAAGTTCAGAGATTAAGAAAAGCGAGAAAAAAAACGAGAGAAACGCGGACAGATAGAAAAGGGAGACATTGACCCGCTCAGCGAGTTGGCAGAACCCATAACCTATTCTCAAGATTCGTCCACCAAGTCCGTCCATCCGAAAAAAGAAAAGCGACCGGACCGTTATAGAGTGAGAAACTCATCTAAAATTGTTGCCCTGACGCCAAGATAGCGCTTTTAACCAACCACCGAGGAAGTCCTGGTCAGATATTCCTCCCATCACCAAACCATGCCATGAAGAGATCCACATGACAGACAGTTTAAAGCCCCTCACTAATCCTAGTCGCACGTCTCAGAAGCGACAAAACGTACGACGACCCTTGCCTTGTGCAATTACGTCACAGTTTATCGACAATTTATCGACCTCCTGCCATTAACGTTAACGACTGTCCTAATCATGTATACCATAACTGCAAGCCCCCCACCGCCTCTCTCTCTCTCTCTCTCTCTCTCTCTCTCTCTCTCTCTCTCTCTCTCTCTCTCNTCTCTCTCTCTCTCTCTCTCTCTCTCTCTCTCTCTCTCTCTCTCTCTCTCTCTCTCTCTCTCTCTCTCACACACACACACACACATACACACACAGAGTCACATACACACGTACACACAGATGTATGCTCAGTGGATCGTTTGCTACCGGTGAACGCACAATTCGGCTCGGCGTCTTAGTCACCATCCCACCAGCAGGAGAGACGAAATGCAATTTAGCAATATAGTAACAGCAGGTACACAGCCAGTCTCTTGACGTCTACTCTATATATGCACCTCTTTCCAGCGGAACAAGAGTCCCCCCTCACGTAACGATGCGCGGGTAATTATCAAACTGAGTGGCAACTTGGCTTTATTTGAATCAATGAACAACGGGCGAAACACTCCTGCAAATAATGTGCGCCTCGTCAGTAGCGAGAGAGATCCCGCAAATGACGTGCGTGCGCCTCGTCAGTAGTGAGAGAGATCCAGCATACACAGAATCAAACATCACCAGCATATTCATTTGTCGGGCGAGGAGACGCCTGGGAGGCTCTCGAGCAGACGAAGCTGCAAGCGCACGGAGCAACAGCGGCAGCTGCGGCCATTGAAAACGCCGAAATAAGAACGAAAACGAGGTAAAGACTGGCAACAAGTCCACGCGCTAATTACTAAATATCACGCCCAATCTCCATCTCCATACAACGGGTACCCCCCTCTCTTGAAACCGAGGATCTCCGCCGCCTCATTCGTCATCAGGAATCTACCCGCTTCAGCACTAACCAGAGGCCAGAGGTCGATGAGAGCTTTCCATACAACATCTCATGTAAGCTGTAGAGAACTACCCACTTCAGCACTAACCAGAGGCCAGAGGTCGATGAGACGGGCAGAGGAGGAGAGGAGGAGAGGAGGAGAGGAGTACAGAAGAGGGAGCAGTGGAGAGGGTGCAGAGGAGAGGAGAGCATCACAGGAGAGAAGAGAGAGGAGTACAGAAGAGGGAGCAGTGGAAAGCATGCAGAGGAAAGGGAGCAAAGGAAAGGAGGAAGGAAACAAGACCCGTGAAAAAGCCCAGCTCAGACTGCGTCACATCATGTATATGATAATAAAAACACAGCTTTCAGTCACAATGTGCCGATGGTTAAGTCAAAGTCATTCCCCGCCCTTTTCTCCGCCCAATTCCGCTGCCATGGTCGTTAACTCCTTGACTGCGCCCGTGCGGAGGCGATAGCGAACATCAATGCCGCCAACACCAGCGACACCCTGACCACCTACCCGTCGCTCACCTAGCATATGTTGCAGCAGCTCGTCCTTGTTCTCTACCTTTACAGGCTGATGAGGTTCCGCCGTAACCCACAACAGCTTGAACCGACCAGTATCAGCTCTGTCATCTACTTGGAAATTGGCAACAGCGTTCTGTAGCCGTTCATCTCTGAAGTCCATCATTCGGCGATCATACACGCCTGCGCCGCCGGTGCCTTGGAGATCCCCGGTGTGAATACGGTGGATCCACTCGAACACCACGCCGCGCAAACACAGGAACGTCACGCAGCCGCACAGAAGACCCATTCGCAAATTCTGCAGCCCCATCGTTAACGGTACTCACCTTGGCGATGGAGATGACGATGACGATGACGATGACACACGCGGCCGACCGCACTTTCCGCGGCGAGCTAGAGAGAAAGAGGGAGCAAGATAAGAGGTACCGCAGGAAACGAACACCCAGCAGCTCTCAGAAAAATGTGACCTGATTGCTGGTTTTCTTTCTACTGTAAAGAACGAGTACAGAAGGCGAGGAGGAAAGTCAGCCGCTCGAGGAGAAAATAGATAGACAGTAGACAGGGCAGGATGTCAGGGTCAGGGGAACTTTGCCAAACGCCAGACAGATTCCGCTGTCGTCGCCACAACGCGGAGCTGGGCCGTCGGATCGCCAGTGACCCTTGCTCGCCCTCTCTCTCGTGCGAAGGCTAACCTATCTCACTGACAAACAAGTGCAGAACATCTGTGCACTGAAAATGGGAGATACGTCGCCCCCCGCCGTCTCTCTCACCCTTCCCAACCTGAAGACCGAGCACAGGCCCGGAGTCTGAGCTGTGCGTGTAATGGGGAGGCAACAGCTGCAGCGCGCATGTCTAGCACAGACTGCTGACGAGTCGGTACGGAGTTGTCCGGAGTTGTACGACGCTCCAACTCCTACAACCCCTAAGTCGGGCAAATGATCAGCTGCACGATGCGAACCGCTCTCAAAACCCGGCGTGCATTCTTGAGTCATGCCGATACCTCGGACATCATGACGATGGCAGACCGTAGAACACTCTCACCTGCCGTTCGATTGCGGCAACCGAAACTCGCGTCCAGTTGAAACCCCATCCGATTCGAGGTACCCGAGTCCACCACACAGCTGCCGCGTCACAGGTCCCCGAGGCTCGGTTGTCAATCACCGAGAGAACCGCGTGCAAACCCGGCGTGCATACTGGAGCCCTGCCGACGCGCGATGTGGTCGCCAGCTTCGGCTGCCAACCACCGAGGCAACCGCAGCGAACAAAGAGGTCTGGAGGCCGGTTCAGGACCGAGGCAACCGTAGCGAACAAAGAGGGCTGGAGGGCGGTTGGGTGCCATGTGAGATACCCGCTGTGGTTTTCGGAATCTATTTTATTCTCTCAATTTCACCTCTCGCTACCTACCTACCACTTCTCCCAAGGCCTAGATAGGGGACCCCTGCAAGCATAGCGATCTCTCACAATCAAGGGGATGCATTGCATGTCGCCCCACGCCCCAATAGGCAGTGGTCAGAGAGTCGGGTGGGGCCGTCCAGGGGGAAGAGGAGGGGGGGGGAAGGCGCACCTCCCATCTACTTCCCTCTATGGCCAGCACTGATACACCACACAACACACACACACACTGGCAAGGTTGGCGTGAGTAAGGTCCACTTTTCTCAGGGGTATCACTAGCTCTGGGGGATTTGGTGCGTCCTTATCCATCAGTCAAATGCATCCTGGCCAGACTGTCACCTCTTGATGAGTGAGTGAAAGTCCAACGACACGGTCTGACACAGTCATGCTTTTTGTGCGTGTATAGCGAATATGACAACACATGCGTGATGCGCACAAAGACCCTACCAATACGGACCCAGGGCACTGAGCGTGCCCAGGCAGTCCGTGGGGATTGAGCCCACGACCTCCTGAATGCCACTTGCATACCTAGCCAACTGAGCTAGGCGGCTTGCTCGCACCTCCTATTTTTTTCTTTTCTTTTTTGGTCAACCTCATATCTGGGCGGCTTATCTCTATATCGTGCGCACCAAGTTTGTCAAGGAAGGTACGTAACACCAATGGGGATTGAACGCACAACCTCTTGAATGCCACTTGCATGCCTTACCAACCTGGAGATAGGTCGTTGATCCCCCTGAGCGGCATAAAGCGGAGACTGCTGATGTTCGTAGGGGGAGGGGAGGCACAGGGACTGGCCCATCGAAGAAGCTCGGTCCTGATGCTACCGGCTGACCTTTGGCCGGTATCGCCCACCTGCTGTAGCAGGTATCGCACCTGCTGGTGAATGCAGCTCCCACATGCTCCCTCGTTGGAGGCTTGAGCATGGATGTGGCTGGTGCGGGGTTCCCCATAATACTATAATCACGATAACAAAGGCCTGAAAGGCCATCCTGTCCAGATTCGACAGTTAATTGAATTGGTTGGGCTTAAACCACCACTACCTAAAAAAAAAAACAACAACATTAGGGCGGCTCCACTTAACAGGGTTATAAGAGCAACCCTTTTAAACCACCAGTACCTCGCTCAGTGTTCGGCCGCGGGCCTTCCCGTATACGCGCCGCAGCCTCAGGCTGGTCGGCCAAGGGAAGGCCCGGTCGTAGCGCCAAGGCCGGGCCCCGCTTCTGTAGGGACGACACACTATCAAAAAAGAAAGAAGAAAAAAAAAATGAAATACACAATCGAAAGAAAAAAAAACGGAAAAACAGTTGAAGTCGTGAGAGAGAGAGAGAGAGAGAGAGAGAGAGAGAGAGAGAGAGGG